AATATTGTTCAATATTGGCGAATTTTCTATAACTGAGGGGTTTGTTCTATTTCTCGTCAACCCATCCACTAGACAGGCCTGGACGTGTGTGGAAGGTACCTTGTTGTTTTCCATTATTTCATTGTGTATCTGCTCAGAGTATTGTACAGCCCTATTGGATATATACTGTCATATATTACTGAAGAACCTGCCGTCAGTATTCATCAATACACTGGCTCGGCTGTTCACTCGCTACCTGTCTGAATGCAAGGTTCCGTCCCAATGGAAAACCAGCAGGACCGTACTACTGTTCAAGAAGGGAGACATCCATGACATTGGCAACTATCGCCCAATCTGCCTATTGTCTGTCATCTACAAGTTGTTCACTCGAGTCATCCTAAATAGGATTGGCAGAACACTAGATGAAGGACAACCATACGAGCAAGCCGGGTTCCGCAAGGGATTCAGCACCATCGACCATATCCACACAATAACCAAGCTCATTGAGGTTTCTCGGGAGTTCAAGATGCCGCTCTGTTTAACGTTCATTGATTTAAAGAAGGCCTTGAAGAATAGAAAGAGCTATGCTTGGAATATCACGTTTCACTCAAATGAGAGAAAGAATCCGGAGTTCCGACATCCGTCGACGATCAAGAATCAGGGACGCTGTCTCATTTGCCAAGGTGTCGAAAATCAGATGGGCTGGTCACGTAATGAGATTTAAAGACGACCGCTGGACTAGAGCTGTTACCGACTGGATTCCACGGGATGTCAAAAGACCGCGTGGCCGCCCACCTTCCAGATGGTCAGACTTCTTCGTCAAGATCATGAACGATTGGTTTGAGGCTCTTCATGGTCCCAGAGCGAACAGATGCCATTGGGCTACACTAGCACGCGACAGGGACAAATGGAGACGTTACTGGCACCCGCTCGAGCAAATCGATGACTAACGGGAAGTTAAGTGATTAAGTGATATAACTGATCTCTAAAGGCCTGACAGTAAGGGAGCTTCTAGAAGCAGCCCGGGGTCATCTATTTGCCTCTATTTCTCAACACTTTTTTATTGTTAAAGTTCGCTTTAAAATCATCATCAGTTCAAACAGCTCACCAGGCTTTAGAAAGCTACGGATTTATCTGAATCATCTAAAAATGTTCCCATGTCTCATTTGATGACCCGCTAGAGCAAATTGATGAACGGTGGGAGGACAGTGCTACAGTGCAGTCTAATTTGATGAGTTAAATCCTTGAAGGAAGTGGGCATGGACTTTACCTATCCCAAATTCTCCTTGGGCTACCTCCTGTAGGGCATATGAGGTCTTAATGTTGTACTTCCCTGAAAGCTCTAGGAAGGAGTAAAATTGTGGCTGAGGGCTCGAGGTAGAACATAGCCATTACTGGCCATAAATCTGGGTATCTTCTGATGATCAACCGCCTGGGAATGAAACTGCGGTTGTGGGTATCGACCAAGCAGTGTGGCCAGAGAAGCCCCATGTATGAGGGAGGAGGCTCAGAAAACTGAGAGCTCACTGGCAAACCCAGAAGCAGATTCTAAAGTGAGCTCCACATGGCTATAACTCTTAAATAGAGATCCAGAGCCTGGTGTGAGTGGTATGGCTCTACATCGGGGTCTCATGGGTAAACACTCAGGGGCTGAGACAAGAGCTGATCTCCAGGGAAAGTGATCCTTAAGGCTAGATTTGATGCCTGGAGGAAGTATTACAGCCAAATATTGAAACCTCTTGGCTAAATACCTAGACTGGCTTAGATGGTCTAGGTTCTGTTCCCTAGGGGACATAAATAGGAAAAGTGGCATCTCAGGAGGATTTTCCTTGCTTCTAATAAGGAGTCTAAAGTACAGGCAGACAGAGTAGACTTAGATGTGTAGAAAGTGTGTGAAGAAGTTGCAGCCCTGCATCCCATAGGCCCTGTGTACATACTGACTTCTAGCTTCGTGTCTGGTATGAGGTTCTGGAAACCAGACAGTTTACAGCACGTTGGGACAGTTCCTGAGTTCATCTGACCAGTGTCTAAGATAATTACATAGACAAACAAAGCATTTCCAGGTTACATCTCTTTTTGTATTCAACAGTTTAAGTGGGTTGAAATGACTGCAGACACAGGAACCCCATGTCCTGGACTCTTCTTCCACACACACATCACCAACCTCTGACCTCCAACTCAGTGACAGGGGGTTATGTACACTGTCTCCTCGCTCCCTGCTGTTTCTGCATCTGACTGACTGCTCACTAATCTGGCCACATGGCCTAATCAAATCGCAAATGGACTAATGAAATTACCAGCTGCCACAACTGTCACTCTTCCCCTACAGTGGCCTGACCCTTAGTTATTTCTGCTATTTTAGTTATTTGTTATTTTATAATCCCTTAATTCTTTCCGCTACTGTTTTATAATCCCTTAATTATTTCCTCGATGCCTGGAGGAAATATTACGGCCAAATATTGAAACTCTTGGCTAAGAGGTAAAACTGCTACTAGTATTTCTGCTATTTTCTGCCTCTTAGCCATTCCTACTACTTAGTATTCCTCCTTGTTCCCTCTGTAACTGTTGAGCCCCCAAATATTCATTTCTAACAAGTATACAAGTTACTGTTGCTGCTTTGAGACCCACTCATGCAAATAGTTCTGCAGCTGATAGATCCCAAGGTAGTTTATGCTGCTAATTAGTCAAACATGCATCAGTTTAGGGATGGTGAAAACACTTATAATACTGTTTTCTGGCTTGGCTAAACACGAGTCTGCATACTCACCTGAGGCTTTTTTAAAAATAATGTATCTCTGTCCTGAGAATGACTTAATAGATCTGAGCAAGCAAGACTGGGGCGTTAGGAATTTTAGAAAGTGCCCAGATGACTCTAAGGACGGCCAAAGCTGAACAGCACTGTTTTCATTAGAAAAGGCTGAACAAGGTCGGTCACTACATTTATTAATCTTGGGCTGTTTTCAATCTACTTGTGTATTTTATCAGCAAAAATAAACATACCAGGGCGGATTCTTACACGTCAGTCCCACAGGTTCCCCAGTGAGTTAAGAAATTTTTTTGCATTAGTTTTTAATTTTGGCTATACATCAAATCACTTTAAGCAGCTTTTTTAAATACCATGACATCACACACACACACACACACACACACACACACACACACACATACTCACTTCCCCCACTGGTAATTAATTTTAAAAGTTTTTTGGTGGAGTTTGTTTATTGGCTTTTTTGGAGTGGGGAAGGGGGGGTGTAGTTTTGGGCCACACCTGGCAATACTTAGGAATAATTCCTAAGTATTGCCAGGTGTGACCTCCTACTTTGTGCTTGGCGGTCACTCCCAGCAATGCCTTGGGGACCTTGCAGTGCCAGGATTGAGCCTGGTGTCTGAGCATGTAAAGCAAGCACTCACCTGCCATTTTTGTTATTTTTCAAATGGTCCAAAAATTGAGAATGCATTGCAGTTCTTGAGGCTTAAAGAAATATGGGGGGGGGGGGGGGGGGCCGGGGAGAATAAAGAACCAATCATCTAGAAACATTAAAGAAATTGGAAACTTTTAATGTCAAAAAATACATTCAAAACACAAATAAATTAACATGGACTTCCTACATTATGTGGAATAATGCTGAAATGATTCATATCCCAGTCAGGGGTAATATAATTAAATACCAAGTTCCAAAAGTGCAATACAGATGTAATACACAATAATGAGGATTACCATAAATGATTTTACATAAAAACATCAGTGATACCAAAGAAATTATCTTATTTTTGTCACCACCACAACAGAGAAGCTCAAGTGAAAGTGGTAAAGAACATTTCTAAACGTTTTTTTGAAACTTCAAGAAGAGGGATAACAGTCTTACGACTGTACTCTCAGCAGTTTCAGTGTGTTTCTTGTTTTGTTTTGGTCTTAGCTTTTCATTTCTGTTGTTTAGTTTTGGGGGCCACACCTAGCATTGCTCGGAGGCTACTCCTGACTCTGTGCCCAGGAGTCACTTGTGGTGTTCATGGAACCATGGGGTGCTGTGGATTAAGCCCAGGCTACATGCATGGAAAGCAAGGAACAAGACCAGTCAGATATCTCTATGGCACAGTTCTGCTGTGTTTCTTCCCATCCCAAACACTTCCCCTGGGCCGACATGTCCTATCAAGAGACAGGTAACTCAGAAAGTTAAGACTAGGGGGCTGGAGAGATAGTATTGGGTAGATAGAGCACTTTCCTTGCACATGGTCAACCTGGGTTCGATCCCCAACACCACACATGGCCCCCTGAGCGTCACCAGGAGTGACCCCTGAGCAGAGAATCAGGAGTAAGCCCTGAGCACTGCAAGGTGTGGCCACAACACGAAACAAAAATAAAACAAAAAACAAAACAAGACTAAAACAGAAACCAATAACTGAGAGCCAAACAGGTGCCATGAAGCAAAACCTACCATACAATGTTTAGTGAATTTAGGACTGGGTAAACTGATAGGAACTTCTTTGCAATTTCTTCTACTCCAAACATAAATATGACAATAATCAATGGTACTGCATTTAGCCAGTGTTCCAAGATCATTATTTAATGTACATTATTGACATTATCACATTTAAAAAGAACATAAGAATTTTATAAATATATAACCACTCTTATCTATATAAGTAAATAAAAACAAATACTACACACCTAGATTTTAAGGCTGCACATTCCACTTTCTGAAAAAAGTGGACTACAGTGACTTGGCTTCAAATAACAGAAACCAAAGGGGACGTCAAAATTTTCTGGAAGTCTGACTTGAATCACATAAACTTTTTCCTGTAAGTTATATTCAAAACAATTCAGTTCTTCTAGAAAAATAAACCAACAAAAAAAAATCTGAATAAAGAAAAAATATATTACTCAAAAATTGTAAAATACTTATAAAATTATAGCATATAAAAGGTTAATTTTTCTATAGGTAAAATTTTATTCACAGGAGGTTGTAGGTTCGTCATTTGTTGAAGTTATTTGGAAGAGATAAAAAAATTAAACTGTTGCTTTATTTCTTGTTCCAATAGACTAAGTCACAACACCTTTCTACGTTTTATGAAAACCTAAGTAAAACATAAAAGAACTTGACAGCAGGAGCAGAAAAAGGGGAGACAAATCTCAAGAACATATAACTGAGAACAAACGCCGTAAAACTTGATTTCAATTACGACACATGTGTAGAAAGAGCAAACCAGCCTTCTTCATTTTGTTTTTCAAACTGCTGAACAAAGATGCAAAGAGAAAAAAAAATTAGAACATGACATCAATATTCCCACTTATTCAGCCCAAATATAACTAAAGGTCAACAGTACTAGAAATTAAATTGGTAAGGAAACATTTTATTTCTTCAAGTAACTGATTTCCTGGTCAACAACATATTAATTTAGATTTTTTGTTTCTGGGGGACCACATCCAGCTCTGGGCTGATTCCTGGCTCTGCGCTCAGAGATCACTTTTGGAGGCAATCAGGGGACCTTTGGGGATGCTAGGGACTGGACCAGGGTCACTGCATACAAGGCAAGTGCACTTGCCCTACCCATTTGTCTAACCTCTTTGGCCCCCCTTTTTAAAATAAAAGATATATCTTTTACATATAAGCCTCTGAGTTTGTATTTAATTTCACCTTTAAAATTAAAAAAAAAGAATCATTTGATCTCAGTAACTAAGTTTCAGAAACCAAAGACAAGTTACAAGTCTTTGTAAAGTCTTTACAAAGACAAATAATTTACTTCCGAGCTTTTTAACAATACAAGAAGAAGCAAAGGACAACTATTTTACTGCTGGGCAACTATAATATCTGAACTTTCAATTAATTTGAGTTATTAATTACCAATGTTTATCAAAACACTTTTTATTTAAGTCAGTAATAAGAAGAGCAAAAAGTACTCCCCCATATCATTTATTATCTCATGTTCGTGAAGAATATAGTTATGATTTTAAAGCTGCCCTCACAATTTTCTATGACTAAACATTCAAGGAAACTACAAATTGCTATTACCAACAGCATGAAATGCCTTTTAAAAGCTTTGGGCATATTTTAAATGCTTACTTTCGACACATCCTTATGTAAAATCAGAACACATAAATCAATTACCCTTTGCGCCAAACCTTTCTGGCTAGTGGTACACTCAGAAACAGCACATTCAGTTCAAGGAGCAAGATATGTGGCTGGACCCAGGTTCTGGCTATTCCAAGCCCCACATAACCATAGCAAGGATCCAGTGAACCAACATCACAGTGTATCTCTAACCACTCAAGAACACTTTCTCTCCTGCCACGTTATCTTGGGGTGAGAGAAAGTTGGGTTATGGGCCACACCTGGTGGTGCTCAGGGGCTATTTTGGTAGTTTGGGGTCAAACCAGGTCATGACCATTGCAGTCACATGTAAGTCCTATGGATTATCTCCCCAGCCCCATTGTGTTGACTTAATGAACAAAAGAAGTTTATAACTTATCTGTTTTCTCTAGTGAAAGACAGTCAGTTGCTTTTGTCTTCCAATAATTTCAGAGCGTCTTTGGTAAACAATAAATAACAAGGAATGGGGCGGGGGGGAAGGGGGCTAACGGAATGCAAATTACTAGAGTCAGTCACCTTCACCCTAAACTTTTTTCACAATTACATTATAACATCCCCTCTTGGAGAGCCCGGCAAGCTACCGAGAGTATCTCACCCGCACGGCAGAGCCTGGCAAGCTCCCCGTGACGTATTCGATATGCCAAACACAGTAACAACAAGTCTCATGATGGAGACGTTACTGGGCCCGCTCGAGCAAATCGATGAACAACGGGAGGACCGTGACCGTGATTATAACATACCTTTGCTCTTGGGTTAAGAGGTGTGAACCGTCCACTTCCTGAAGTAGCATTTAATGGAGAAACAGAATTATTAGAAGCCCCTGAAGATCTATTTAAAGATAAATAAAAGATAGTGAGTAATCTATAATTCTAACCTTTTAAAAATTATGTAAGAATAATTACCCTCCATAGCGCTAAAGGCTTGAAAAAAAAATGGATGACTTAGGTCCAAAGGAGGTAAATTATTTGTAACACATTTTCACCAGCATAAATCTTTAAAAAACAAAACAAAACAAAAAAAACAACAACAGTTCTGTTTTGTGCCACCCTGGGAGTGACTATAGGCAGTGCTGGCAGCTCCTGGCAGTGCTCAGGAGCTACTCCTGGCTCTGTGCTCAGGAGTCTATAAGCAATGTTAAAAATGAAACCCAACGCTGTAATTCTATAAATTCTAATGCTGCTGTTGTAAAATCCAAGCTTCTGTGTTCATTGGTTTTTAGTCTATTTCTCTCATTCACACATTGTTTCCTCAACAGTATTTGCCCTTCTAATTTAGCTTATGTGAACTTCTTATTTTACAGATCAACGCCAACCATAAACTTTCTTCTTTAAAAAACAAAAAAAAAAAAAAAAAAGAGAAAGAAAGAAAATCACACGCAAGGCAACTGGGGTCAGGCAGACCCCAGTTAAAACTTGTATCATACATCTCTAACCTTTAGTAGACAGAATTCCAATACACCTCCCGGTCATACATACTTTTCTCTTTTAGCACACTGCATAGGTATGGAGGCACTTGTTACAACTTGTTACATTACAATACTGAAATGATTAGGAGTATACTCTATATTAGGGTTCACGTTTTGTCTTATACATTATATAGGCTTTGACAAATATATAGTACCCTGTACCCCTTTCTGGATTATGCTGATAGGTTTTTAACACTAAAGGAGCAATGGGTGTGCTGAATGGATAAAAAGGAGGTGAAGGTAGTATGAGGATAGAAAAAATCCAGAAAGGCAGAGTGCTGTGCAGTCTCACCTCCAGCATGGAGCCTGGAATACAGGCACACCATCAGTGTTACTACTGGCCAATCATGAGATTTATCAAGGCAAACCACCCCATCAGTGCTATGGGCTGCAGTCTTATCTATTCACCAAAGGAATTAAATTAAATTAAATTACTACAGGTCAATTTATCCACCTTGTCATGCATTACCTCCTAGTTTTGTAATCCATAAAGCTTTACATGTTATCCAATATTTTTTTAATAGCCAATCAGTGCTTCTCTCCTTAATAAAGGTTTGTTCCTCATTCCTCTTCTTCACTCCCCAATAACCTCTTTACTTATTTTCTCTGCATAAACAAGTCTGTCTTTGCCTGTCAGGTCTTAAAAACTTCTGTTTTTCATAAGGAATGAAACACTTTGCAACAGTGTCGACAGACCTAATAAAATAAGTCAAAGAAACTTATGTTTTTATTCAGATGTGGAATATTAGGAAATCAAATGGATTTTTGAACTAAATTAAACTACTCCTGGACTATACGACTAATTAATATGACCAGAAGGGAAGGAGATAAGTGCAGGAGTTTGACTAATTAGTTTAAGGGGAACACGCAGTGCGAAAGATAATTAGATTTTAAATGACGAATCTAATTTGGTGTGTGTGTATATATGTATATACATGTATATACATATATACACACACATATACATATATATACATTTATATGTATGTATATATACGGTGCTTTGTCTTACACATTATATAGTCTTTCACTAATAAGTATGTGTATGTGAGTGTGTGTTGACTTTCATTAATGCACATCTGAAATGTTATAACTTTATTGTTGTGTCAATAACAAAATGAAACACACACCTACCTTACTCTTGATTTATTTAAAGCAACTATTCCTAGTGAAGCCCTACCTTCGGGCAGCCACCCCGCTGGAGAGAGAGATGTTACTGCATTTTGAGCTCTCTGGAGCATCTGCTCCTGGAACAGAAACCTCAATCGTCCTCTTTCCTCCATCTGAAACATATAAAAATAAATTTGAGTCCCATTTTGTTTATTATAAAAAATTGACATCTAATTTCTTTCTGTCTTACTGCAATTTTACATTATAAATTTGGAGGTTCTTTCTATATTTCTATCATCATGATCCACAGATACACCTGAAGGATTATTTTAGAAACGAACTGTGAGACAAACAACTTTAGTTACTAGGGTCAACTAGTGGTCTGCCAATTTGTAGAGAGAAATGTCAGAGAAGTGGTGTCAGGCCAGAGCTGAAGCAAAAAATGAAAATTGTTAGTCCTAAAGAACTTGAGATCTTTGACAGCTGCAGCTTAGATCTCAAGTTTTCAAAAGTTAAAACACCAAAGAAATAAAACTTCTAAGTTATTCTAAATATAAAGTGAAACATTATATTTTCTAAATCAAGTTCACTGTTACTATTTCTGAAGACCAGTAAATTAACATGGAAAAGTCAGCTGACGAGCCCCTGGGATTGATGACAAGTATAATTATATACGTTTATATTTTCAACATTTAGAACTAAATAATCAATCAACAAATAATTGCTAAATATCTACTAATGAAAGACTTCCTGTTCATTCGAATTCCTCAGTTTCACAGAGGCTCCCATTAATCATTCAAAAACCAACAACTTCCAGTCTTCAAGGGGGAAATGAAACCCTATTTAATTTTATAATACACTCCTCAGTTACTCTACAACACAAAGGAGTTTTTTTTTTTTAATGGCATGTGATTTATTTATCATTATAGTGATAGCTTCTTGTGAAACCAAGAGTTTTACTTAAGAAAAGAATATGGAATCAGAGAAATAGCTCAGAAAGCTCACACATGCTTTGCATGCAGGATGCCTAGATTTGGTCGCTGGCATGGACTGGGGCTGGGGCAGGACCAAGTCGTGAGCACAACCATAACACAAAGCAAACAGAAACAAGAAATATGGTAGATTTATAATCAATCGAATGAAAAGCTCACATTCTCAAATCTGCCACTCATCCTTAGAATGTCAGACAGAACACTTCAATTTTGTACCTCGGTACATTTATTTATGAAGTGTACTTATCGGCTCTATCTGCTCTCACAGTACATTGAGAACTAAAGAAGACAATAAGAAAGCAAGCTATTGCTAACCTTAAATAACTATTGAACTCAAGATGACTCATTTAATCACAAAACTACCCTGAAGAGTGATCTGGCTCATTTTTCTTTATTGGACTTAGTTTACTAACAAGTTCTTGTATGCTTGTTTGCTTCTTTGTTTACTGTCTGCTCCACAATTTGAAAACTGGAGCAGTCACGGCAAACGGGCCTTATTCTACTCAACACTGCATCTCCAAAGCCAGAACAGGTCAGAGCAGACAGCTTTATTTATTGGGGTGATTTAATTTACCAATTTTAATCATTAGCTGCCTCTGACTTTGAACAGCAAACAAAAAGAAAATACTTTTTTTTGAAGTAAAGAACAGTAGACAAAAACATCATTTGAAGAAGTCTAGAATAAACAAACAAAAAAAAGAGACCACAGGAAAATCCATTACTGTCATTGCACAGTAATTTCTGAAAGGTCACTTCCTGAGTCTGTAATTTGGAGCCAGAGAAATAGTACAATGGGTAAATTGCTTGCCTTGAATGCGCCGGACCCAGGTTCCACCCCCTGCAACATACGTGGTCCCCTGAGCCCCCTGCCAGAAGTGATACATAAGTGAGTGTGGTCCAATTTTTTTTAATTAAAAAAAAAAACCTTCAAAAAGAAAAAAAAATTTTTTTTATCAGATAGTGCAAATATAATGTACTTCAAGCATTCGCAGGACACACAAATCCCTCTAGAGCACTCCTGCAGCAACACCATGTTCCGAGACACACCACGTTCTGACAGAGCAGCTTCTCTGCCTGGAAGCAAGGGTATGGAATCTTATACTGGGACCTAAGCGTTCTCTCTATAAACTCTCATGTAATTCTGCATACTCAGGAACCGAATCAACCTCTGGCTCAAAGATGTACTTTGTTTCACAGGTATCTTTTTGAATGTGAATATTGTAACTTATCATAGTTATGTAGAATTTCCTCTTGTCTTTTCACATTCCTAAATGTTATCAAAAAGAAAGTTCTGATTTATAAATAAAAATGTTTTAGTGATCAGAGCCAGAGAGACAGTACGGTGAGTAAGACACTTTCCTTGCCTGTGGCCGACCTGGGTTCAGTCCTCTACATCCTAAGCACAGTTGGGTGTGTGAAATAATTAGTAGCTAACAAAATTCCAAGTCATCATTCTGATGCTTATATAAGTAGCAGCATAATTACATGCCAATCATATTCTGATATATATTCCATTTAACATGTAGGACAACTGAAGAAATCAGAAATTTTATAGATGAGCTGCAGGTTCATAATGGGATCACTTTTAATCACAGAAACAGAGTTTATCAGAACTCTCCCAGTCCCATTTATGTCACTTACTGTACAATTCAGGTCTCTTTCATTCTATGCAAAATTTTAGGCTCTAACCAAAATGTTGCTGAAATTTCCTCTAGCTTAACATATACTTGCAAAAATCATGGAAGTGAAAATGCACATGTATTTAACTCTGAAATCATGAATTTGCAACCAACCAGTCCATGCTCTGAGAGGTGACAGAGCAGGTGATAAAGGTGAAGAGGAAGCATCCAAACTTATAAGTTTCTGCTGTTCGATTAATTGCAAAAGTTTCCCACGAGCCTCCATACTCTGTCTATTCAGTTCTGCGATCCGTTCCTCCATGCTGCTTGGTGTCAGAGGTTGTGCCGGTGGAAGTGTCTTTAAAAAAAGAAAACGGGGGGATAACACAACATTTCAAAAAACTGAATGTTAGCAATAGGAATTAAGAGGCAATAAAATCAAGTATATATACTCCATAACAAACCAGTCATAACAAATGACTTGGCATTTTGCAAATATACTCTTCTACTAAGCATCAACAACTCAGTACGCATAGCGGCTGCTGTATTCAAACCTGATAATAGGCAAATTAAAGAATTTTTAATTCATTCCACTAAAAACATTAGAGGTTAAGTCTGATCCCCTTCTCCACACAAAGTGTCTGTGGGACAAAGCTTTCCTGCATCTTAGTGTCTGTTTAGGTGATTAGACACAATCACAGGAGTTCCAGGGCAGAGAGATAACAAAGTGCTTAAGGCATTTGCCATGCATGCAGCTGTTCCAGATTAAATCCTTATTTACCCCTTACAGTGCCCTGATCCTGCCAAGAGTGACCCCTGAGTGCAGAGCCAGGAACAAGCCCTGCACACAGTCAAGTGTAACCCCGAAACAACAAAAAATAGCTGTCCCAGTAACTGACTTCTATGTGACATACCCACATCTGGGGTTTTAGATTATACCGCAGAGGACTTCTTCGCCGTGGAACATATTCTATAATTATGTATGTATGGTTACATACACATCAGGAGATAATGGGCAAAGATTCCTACAAAGCACTCCTTATGACTGGTGTCTGCCTCCTGAGGCCACACTTGGCTTACGGTCATTGATGCAAAAGAACTGGTGACTGGAAAGAAATACGGGAAGTCGAATGCAAAGCCTGGCAAACTGCCTGCGACGTGTTCAGTATGCCAAAAACAGTAACAACACGTCTCCTGTTCCTGTTCCTCCCTGGAGACCATAAGCCATCACGGATAAGGTAATTACCCCTGGAACTTTTTTTTTCTTTTTTGGTCACACCCGGCCATGCACAGGGGTTACTCCTGGCTCTGCACTCAGGAACTACTCCTAGCGGTGCTCAGGGGACCATATGGGATGCTGGGAATCGAACCCGGGTCACTGTGTGCAAGGCAAACGCACTACCGCTGTGCTATGGCTCCAGCCCCACCTCTGGAACTTTTAAGATAAGATGCTGTACACATCTCCCATCCCAACTGATTCCTCCAGCCATCATTTTCTTAGTGATCCCTTCTCTATTCCATCTGCCTTCTCCACTCCAATAATGGACCACACATGATGACCTCTCAGTGTCTGTATTGCAAACCATAATGCCCAAAAGTAGAGAAAATGTATGGGGAATATTGTCTGCCATGGAGGCGGGGGGAGGGGGGCATATTGGGGAGATTGGTGGTAGGGAATGTGCACTGGTGGAGGGTTAGGTGTTTGATCATTGTGTAACTGTAACCCAAAAATGAAAGCTTGTAACTTTCTCACAGTAATAAAAAAAAAAATAAGATGCTGCTCAGAGCTGAATATCCTGAAACAAATCCTCAGAGATATGACAGGTTAATCTTTCATAAAGGGGAAAAAACTATGAAGTGGAACCAAGAAATCCTCTTCAACAAGTGGTGCTGGGAAACTGGTCTTGCACAAAAATCAAATCAAAATGGATTCAAAATTAATTCACAATCTTGATATTAGACCTGAATCATAAGGTATGTAGAGGACAACATAGGCAGAATCTTCCATGACATTGAAGCTATAAGCATCTTCAAGTTTTAAACACCTGAAGTCATGAAACTTGCTTATCAGTGGATCGACACTGATAGAACTTTACAAGAAAAATCATGTTAAGTGAAAAGGGACAGACACAGAAGGACTGCACCCATTTTTGGAATATAAAGTAAAATAATGGGAGACTAACACCCAAGGATAGCAGGGGTAAGGGCCAGGAGGATTCCTCCACGGCTTGGAAGCCGACCTCACTGGCTGGGGGAAAACTCAGCTGAGATAGAGAAGGGAACACCAAGCCAAGGATGTTTGGAGGCCTCTCTCGAGATGAGGGATGTGTGTTGAAAGTAGACTATAGACCGAACATGATGGCCACATATTAACTGACTTGAAAACCATAACACCCAAAAGGAGAGAGTGAGTAAGGGGGAATGTGCCTGCCACAGATGGGGGGAAGGGTGGAGTGGGGATGGTTGGAGAGATGTTTACTTGACTACTGTATGACTGACATGTAATCACAAAAATATGTAAGTCTGTAATTCTATCTCACAGTGTTACATTAAAAAAATTAAAAAAAAAAAGATAGAAACACCACTGACCAAGCAAGTGGAAGCAAAGATAAACAAATGGAACAACATTAAACTAAGAAGCTTCTGCACTTCAAAAGAAACAATGATGAGAATACAAAGACAGTCCAAGGAATGGGAAAAATTACCTACTCAACACTCATCTGATAAGGGGTTAGTACTAAATTATATCAGGCACTGACAGAACTTTACAAGAAAAAAAAACCCAACCTTATCAAAAAATGGTGAGGAGATGAACAGAAACTTCCTCAAAGAAGAAATACAAATGACCAAAAGGCACAGGGAAAAGTGCTCTACATGCCTAATTATCATGGAGATACAAATCAAAACAACAATAAATACCATCACATGCCACGGAAACTGGCATATATCAAAAAGAACAACCAGTGTTGGTGCGGATGTGGAGAGAATGGGACTTCCATTCACTGCTGGTGGGAATGTTGATTGGTCCAGACTTTCTGAAAGACAATATAGACATTCCTCAAAAAACTAGAAACTGAGCTTCCATATGACCCAGCAATACTGCTCCTGGGAATATACGTTAGTGGCCAAAAGCTATCTGCACTCCTGTTTCACCGTGGCACTCATCACAACAGCCAGGATCTGAAAACAATTCAAGTGTCCGAAAACAGATGAGTGGATAAAGAAACTATGGTGCATCTACACAATGGAACAATACCTAGCTATTAGGAAAAATAAAGTAATGAAATCTGCTTATACAATGTATGGACATGGAGAGTATTGTATTGAGTAAAATCAGTCAGGAGAGGAACAAATATAGAATGACTGCACTCATTTGAGGGATATATTTTTTAAAATGTAGTATGTGAATAATGGGCTAGAGTGATAGCACAGCAGGTATGGCATTTGCCTTGCACTCCGCCGACCGGGGTTCGATTCCTCCACCCCTCTCAGAGAGCCCGGTAAGCTACCGCGGGTATCCCATCTGCAAGGCAAAACCTGGCAAGCTACCCATGGAGTATTCGATATGCCAAAATACAGTAACAAGTCTCACAATGGAGACAATACTGGTGCCTGCTTGAGCAAATTGATGAACAATGAGAGGACAGTGCTACAGTGCTACAGTATATGAATAATACCCAAAGACAACCGGAACAAGGGCCAGGAGACTGGTTCATGGAGGAAGCTTGCTACGAAGGGGGAGAGGGACTGCAGTTAGGACAGTGAAGGGACCACATGACAATGTTAGTTACAGGTGATCATTGGACAAAAACTAAGTGCTCAAAGGAGGTAAAGTGATATGCATGACACTCTTTCGGTAACAGTACTGCAAACCACAGCGCCTAAAAGAAAAATTAGTAAGAGGGAGGAGAAAAGTATCTGCAGAAAAGTATCTGCAGTCTGTGGTGGTGGGGTGGGGCAGGAGGAAAACTGGGATACTGACGGCAGAAAATGTGTACTGGTGAAAGGATGGGTGTTGAAACATTTTATGACTGAAACTCAATCTGGTCAGCTGGGTTGGCTGCATGCAAGGCAAACTTCCTACCCGCAGTGCTATGGCCCTACCCACTGAACTATCGCTCCAGCCCCTAGCAACTTAAATGCCTTGTGTCCCTGGGCAATATATTTTTTTCTCTTGCTTTTAACTTGTTTACATGTAACGGGGAAATAAAATTAGCAATTAAAATGCATTTTAATGCATTTTAAAATGCTGGCCATTAGACAGTATAATTTTGAATAGCTGAAGAATTACCTAACTTTACTGACTTAAAATGGGTGCTTGATGACTATCTCATCATGAGAATTAAACACAGAAATTTAAAGTCTCTGACCTTACTGAAGGTTAAGGACTAATTCAACAGTAATAGGTGCAAAACAAAGAGATAGTCACTAAGTTACTTTTCCATTATAAAAATTGTTTAATGGGGGCTGGAGCAATAGCACAGTGATTAGGGCATTTGCAGGGGGCCAACCAGGGTCCGATTCTCAGCACCCCATAAGGTCCCCCAGCCCTACCAGGAGTAATTCCTAAGTGCATGAGGCAAGAGTAACCTCTGTGCCCAAAAAGGAAAAAAAAAAGTGCTTAATATGTTAACAAATTAAAAACCCACTAAATAGTCTAAATAAATCTGTCATACCACCAAAATAATAATAATAATCATGATGATCATGATGATGATGCTAGTTTCTGAATCAGGATTGCTGGGCAGGCTTGATGACCTGAGTTGTTGGCAGGTATCCAGGCGACACTGATGCAGGTGCTCAGAAACGCCAGGAGAGCCAGGAGGGCATGACTGGTCCCAACACCTGTGAACACTGACCACCGCCTCCAGCACATGAAGTGGCGGACATCACTAGCCACCTGCCAACTACAGTTGCTGTGCTCGTGTCCTGTTTCATTCTGGTTGTTTGGTAAGGTGCTGGGGAGAGAACCCAGAGTTCTCTCACAGGCAAGTGCTGTGCTGTTACGCCACACCCGGCCTGAGCCGAGTCTTGATTGATACTCACCGAAGGCATGTCGCTTGTCTGACCTGCTTCCTGCTTTTTCAACTCCCGAGGTCCATCCCCCTGCTCTCCCCCTGGTATAATATTATTCAGATGTGCCTTGATGGCTGAATTCTGCAGTGTCAACTCAGCAATTCGCGTCATGATGTCCTTTCTTTGGGTTAGTACCTCATCTGTTTTGAGCTGTTGCCCATCTTCCAAAATTGGGGGCTCCTCTGAGAATTCGGAGTTTCTCAACGGCTGAGTGTCTGAATGGGAATTAGGGAGGCGCTGTGAGAGACTCAGGAAAGGAGCCTGGGTTTTGTTCTCCAAATCTTCTCCCATGTGTGAGAACCGCCATCTCTGGGTGAAGAGATGATTCTCTTCATTTGCATTTGCATTCTGGAAGTCTGTGGTAGTAGGTAATGTTTTGCTTTCCCAATTGTGTTCCTTCTCAATTATTTCTGCTGTTGGAGGAATACGCGGAGCAGGACGAGTTTGGACAGTCCTCCTCAATACTACAGACAAAATTAAAGAAAGCACGATAAACATGTATCATTTAGGTATTGATTGGTACTATAATAATTTCATTAGCCTACCTTAGTAGTATAGAGTACAACTGTGTGATGGTGGGGGATAGAAGGGGAGAAAGAAACATAATGACAACGACACACAAGGTCCTATTTACCATAGGTATAACACATGATTAAAACCACCCTAAAAATATTCTCCTTCAGCTTAAAGGCTATGTATGATATTCAGTGTATTTTTAAAATTCTCCTTTATCAGTTAACTGAATACCCTACATGTTGGAACTATTAATAACAACATCTAACTTTAGACAGAGTCTGCTTACCATCCTGCAAAGGAGAAAATTCAGAGTTACTCTTCTGCCTGGGTGGTGTCAACAGCACTGCTGGCTCAAATACATGTGCTGGAAAACTGCTGGCCAGATTCCCGCTCTCCAGAGGGTTTGGCACCTGGGAGAGTTTAACGGGCAGGTCGTCCTGGGGGAATTCACCCGCTTCCCCCCTTCTGAACATCAGTGGCGCAGAGACATCAGTATTTACAACTGGACCCTCTGAAGAAGACAGATGAGAGATGATTAGTACTGGAAGGAACATGAGGTCTTTGGAGCGGGGTCGTTTTGCACAGGGCAAAAGCACGTGGCCTGCAGAGCCAACGCCCTCTAGGGGGTCTCCTCCCCTGGCACTGAGGGGCGAGGCACCTATGGGGCCAGCTCTGGAGGGGAAGTGGCTGATTTCAAGGAAAGCCTCCGGTGATCTGCCCCGGCCACTGAGTTTCTCATGCAGGTCCCCTTTAGTCAGCCAATTCTTAAAACTCTTCTTAAGAGAGCACTCTAATGTGGGAGACAAGGTAATGGTACAGCAGGCAAGGCAGTACTTACCAAATCTGCTATACTAAAGGCCACCGTGCATACTGCCAACCTGGGTTCAATTCCCAGCACCCGGTAAGGTCCCTCAAGCCCTACTGGAAGAGATCCCTGAGCACAGGGCCAGGAATAAGACTTGTACTTAGTTAGGTGTGGCCTCAGAATAATAAAAAAAAAATGCTCAAAAAATAAATGGCAGATGGCTCCAGCTCTAAGGAATGGAGCAAATGTTTTACATGCCGGAGTTCTGGGTTTGATCTATGGCAACACATGGTCCCCTGAGTGATGCCAGGCTGGTGAAGCCCAAAAATAAACAAAAATCAAAAATCTTAAACTTAAAACACTTTCCATGAGGTATTCATCAAAGTATTACCTAAAAGTAAAACATATGAAAAGCAAAAATTGGGGTCAGAGAAATATTATGTGGGTAATGCACTTGTCGTGTGTATGGCCAATCTGGGCTCGAACCCCAACACTTGTAGGGACACCTGAGCACTGCCAGGAGAGATTCCTGAGTACAGAGCTAAGAGTGACCCCCGTCCATCGACAAGTATGGCCCACCATCCCTAAAAAAGAAAAAAATGAAAAAATGTCCTATTCGACCTGTAGCATAAAATGACACAACAGGTGGAGAAAGGCTTTCAAAACATTACCACAAATGAACAAACGACTAATCTCTAAAACTATGGTTTTTTTCTTTGTACTATCTCTTCTGCAGAACACGAGGCACTGTGATTAAAAGTCCTCTGCCCACTGTACTATCTCTCCAGACACTTGTGACTTTGTGAAGTAATAATCCTCTTTATTATTTAAAAAAACCTGCTTTATTATTCTCATCTAAAAATGTGATAAGAGTAATACCAACCTCAATAAGACTATTATGAGGATTAAATGGGATAACACGTGTAAGAGATTTCAAGAGTATCTGGCAAGAGTAAGCAGCCAAGTAACATAGCTGAAAATAGTATTAATTGTCATCATGATGATGTGGTGTATGTCTAACGGCTAACAGCTCCACGGAAATTTAGGGTTTTGTTTACTCTGCAAGCACATCTGGGAAAAGAAGACCCACTCACCTGGATTGTCTCTGAGTCTTCTGGTCGCTGCTAACCTTTCTGATGCCTGTTTTTCTTTATTGTTACTTATCACAGGACAGCTATTAATGGCACGTGTAAGCAATGTCAGTTGCTCATCCATTCTGACCATGTGCTGCTGGAGTTTTGCCTAAAAAAAGAGAATAGAACAACATCAGTGGCAATATCAGACATAAAAGAATCACCTAAAACAGGGCTTCAACTTTTTCTTCCTGTGATGCCTTTTTGCCCAAGAAATTTTTATGCAAACCTGGTATAAAGGTTTACAAAGCAGGCATACACATGAACATCTACTTACAATAAATCATAAATTTATTTTAAAAATGACTTTGAGGGGCTGGGGAGGTAGCACAGCGGGTAGGGCATCTGCATCCCATATGGCCCCCTGAGCACTGCCAGGAGTAACTCCTGAGTGCAGAGCCAGGAGTAAACCCCTGTGCATCACCGGGTGTGACCCCCCCAAAAAAAATAAACAAAAATAAAAATGACTCTGATATTCAATTATGCGGCTCTATATGGATCACCTCTTGTGCCACCACTTAATAGATCAAACATATCATTATTTTAAATACTCAAGGATATACATACCAAATGCACTGACAATGATATATTTTATAAGTATTTTGAATCTCACACTTAGAGGAATGATTAAGTTGGCATGGAGCGATAGCAGAGCGGTAGGGCGTTTGCCTTGCATGCAGCCAACATGGCCGACCCGAGTTCGATTCCTCCACCCCTCTCGGAGAGCCTGGCAAGCTACCGAGAGTATCTCGCCCGCACGGTGGAGCCTGGCAAGCCACTCGTGGTGTATTTGATATGCCAAACACAGTAACAACAAAATCTCCAATGGAGACGTTACTGGGCCCGCTCGAGCAAACATATACTGTTATAACAATAAAAATAAACCTTTTATAGGACTTTTTATTATTACGACTTATTTATATCGATAACAACTACCAAGCTGCTTTAAGAGACAAATACATAAGGTAGAAAAAAGTCAACAGAATATTACATGTGCATTTAAACTGGTAAATAAACTTGGACACTATAAAGTTTGATGGCGATGAGTATAAAACAGTAAAAGAAAAGGGAAAAAAATCATGAAATTCCGCATTAACTATGATTATATGTATCAGAGATATCACTATTTTATAGGGAATATAGATACAGTCTCATTTATACATGTGCATATATATTTGTATGTGAGTAAACGCAAAAGTCCATCAAAGATGAATAAATAAAATGTAGTATACTTAAACAACGAAATATTACTGGGCATTAAGAATGAAGCACTGACATTTTGTAACATGGGAGAACCGTGAAAAAACTGTGCGAATCTCCTGCCCCCGCACCAGGCTGTCTTCACCAGGCACCTCGAGGGGGGCGGGTTGAGTTTCCCTCCTTGCCCCAAGCAAAAACCTGGCAGCTGAAGACCTCCAGAACCCAGCCGCAGTCATACTCCAGGCCACTCTCCACACACTCGGACGAGCCTCACCCATGAAGGAACTGGCAGGGGAACCCAGGTATGCGAAACCCAAGGCTGAGATCGCGAAGCCTGCTCGGATCGGGACTGGGCCTCCTCCACTAGATCCCCAGTTTTCCAGTAGCTTGGCAGTCACGCCCACAAACTGCCCCAGTGCCATGTAATCTCATCAGATTCCATTGACTATACAAGATCCAGAGACTATAAACTTGAGCTTCTGAAAGAGAGCAATGCAGTATTTCCTGGAGCAACCTCGTATACTCTAGCCCGCTGATATAACCTAAAGCAGCACGTGTATCTGGTTTTAACATACTTGCTTGTATTCTCTTACATATGGGCTTAAAGGGCCCCAGAATGAAATCAACAACCTTTATACACTTCCCTCTTATTGTGACTGGAAGATGCTTGCTGGTGGGTGGATGCTTGCTGGTGAATATTATCTATAATGAACGACTGTGAACTAATATAACTGTAGCACTGTACCACTGTCCTCCGTTGTTCATTGACTTGCTCGAGTGGGCACCAGTAACGTCTCCATTGTGAACTCAATGTTACTATTTTTGGCATATCGAGTACGCCATGGGAAGCTTGCCAGGCTCTGTGGTGTGGGCAAGATACTCTCGGTAGCTTGACTGGCTCTCTGAGAGGAACGGAGGAATTGGATCTGGATCGGCTGTGTGCAAGGCAATTGCCCTATCCACTGTGCTATCACTACAATAATAATATAATAATAATGAAGTCCTAGAATCCTTATACAGAGCCTGACTGACTCAAAGTGATCCAGCTTCCAACGTCATCCCCACTCCAATGTCTCATCGCCACCCTATTCTAACTAGATGTTGCTATTATTTTTAGGTATTGTGTATTACTTGACATGATTTGGTAACATGGCAAATTTTCCACATCTAAATTTGGGGCAACTGCTTCTCTGCTTTAGGACCTTCTGATTTAAGGTTTCGTGGGAACCTCTGGTTTGGATGAGGTAGAGAGGCTGTGAGAACAGAGGTACTATTTGTGGAAGACTCATTTCTGAGCACAGAGCAGACACCCAATCACGTCTGCTTCCAGATGTAGTGGGAGCCTCAGCAGTGGTAGTAACCATGGACAACACGGTCTTTGTAGAAGAGTTCCTGCCCTCAGTGTAGTGGGAGTCTGGATTCCTGAGTCTCACTGTCACCGAGTCCTACAGGTATGTTCCCCAGCCATGAAGGCCTGGTCAGTAACAGGACAGAGCTCTGGGCTGCTCTCAGTATTCAGTGGTCTGGACCTGCTCTCTGAGTATGCTCCACCAACAACTGTTATAAATGTCCTGGATAAATAACTGTAGTATTCCTAAAGCATTTCCTTTGTTTTGAAAAGTGCAGAAACAAACTCAATTTCCTTCACTACTATTTATGAAAATAAAATGTATAAAAAATTGTAAAAAAAAAAAAATCTATTTACCAGACGCCCACAACAAACATCATTCTCAATGGCAAAAAAACACAAGACAAGGCTGTCCATTCTCATTAATACTATCCAATATAGTGCTGGAAGTCCTTGCCAGAGCAATAAGGCAAAAAAGGAAATCTTAAGGGCATCCAGATTGAAAAAAAAAGTCAAACACTCACGATTGCAGATGTCATACTACACCTAGAAAATCCTGAAGAGTCTACCAAAAAAGCTCCTGAAAATAACAGACTTGCACAGAAAAGTAGCAGGTTACAAAATCAATGCACCAATTTATGGTGCAAAACTTTATGAAAAAAATTATGAATTTATCATGGTTTTTCTATATGCAAATAATGGAAAGAAAGAGGGAAGAATTCACTCACTATTGTGCCTCAGAAAAGCAAGTACTTGCGAATCAACAAAAGGGGTTAAATATTTACACAATGTAAACTATAAACCAGTACTAAAAGAAACAAAAGAGGGTATGAGAAGGAAACACATCCCCTACTCATAAATTGGAAGAGTTAATATAGTCAAAATGACAATCTTGTCCAAAGCATTATACAGATTCAATGCAGTCCCTATAAAAATACTCATAATAATTTTTAAAGACATAGATCAAATGCTGTTAAAGTTTATATAAAGTAATATATCCCTTCCCCTCAAAATACCTAAAGTAATACTTGGGAAAAAAGCAGAGAAAAGAAGCCTTTCCCTTTCTTAATTTTTAAACCATATTACAAAATTATAGTAATCAAAACAGTGTGGTATTGGAATAAGGGCACACTCTCAGACCAATGGAATAGAATTCAGAGACAGATCCTCATATACATGGACAGTTAATCTTCAGCAAAGGAGGAAAATGTATGAAGTGGAGCAAGGAAAGCCTCTTCAACAAACAGTGCTGGGAAAACTGATCACTAACTGTGTAAACTCACACAAATTGGGGGCGCGCGGCACCCACACGGCGGCGGCTCTATCTCTCCCGCCACCCGCGTTCGGTAGTCTCACCCTTCTACCACCCCGGAGAGGTCGATGGCGATGGTCAGGCGGGGGAAGGAACGAGGGCCAGGCTGGTTGGTATTAGTCGTAGTTTATTCTGATTCTTTCCTCTTCTCCCCTTGTCTCTCTATCTCTCTCTCTGCTCCCATCTCTCTCTGTTTCTCCTCGTCTCTCCTGTCTCTGCTCCCATGCTACTTCATTCTCCTTCCCCATCCCCCTTCATCCTCCTCTTCCTTCTGATCCTCTCTGAACTTTCTTCTTCCTTCTGCCCCTCTCTGAACTCTCTTCTTCCTTCTTCTGCCCCTGTCTCACTCCTACAGTACAGTTAAATCCTCTCTCCTGAGGAATTGGGGGAACAATTACACATAGGTGTGGTCACAATCAATAGGGGTGGAGATGAACAGGGGTAGAAATCTTAGCCTCAGGGAAGACCGCTCCTAGGACAGATCCTTCCTTAGCAGGAGGACCCACCCTAGAGCAGAATTCCATGGGCGTGCCTCTCCTCTCCTTGTCCAACAAGCATATAAAATATTATATAAATCATTTTGTATGGATACAGTAAGAAATATCTTAAACTTATAGAATTGCTCTCCTAGGGCCATCTCGATCTCAGACTACGGTGCTCAGGCCAGATAGTCTTTCCCACCCCTAGCAGGATCCTAGTCTTGTCGTTACCTTTGGATCATGACAGCATTTGTCTATGATCAAACTCTTAACTTATAGTTAAGAATCGTGGCACTTTGGCCTGGCCCATTTCGCTGCCAGGGTAGCTCACTGCTTGCCCTGGGTCCATTCAGTCCCTCGTCGGGACCCTGCTTTTGGGGTGTTAGTAACTATGGGCAACTGAGGCTTAAGTCGAGAAAGATGATGCCCGGGAGTGAATAATATTCAAGGCCAATCAAATCCTAAATTACAAAGCATAATGTTAACGGTCTTCCTGTATCTATACAAAAAGGATATTACTTTAAGGTAAACTGTTCATAAGGCATAAGGAGAGGAAAAGGGCAATATTTCACTCATACATATAAAATCATAGATTTCTGGGAAACTGATCTTACAAATTAACAAAGTCTGATTAAGGGGAAAGCTGATTAACTGGGTGGGAGAGCATAGGGAAGACTGTTTACAGATAAACACAATGGAAGTGGAAGTGCTTCAGGAGCACTGAGGTGGGTGTAACCAGATAAAACCTAAGCTTCTTGAAGGACAAAGCA